TATTCGTAGGAAAAACGCGAGCTGGCAATGCACGGCTCCTAATTGTAATGTAAAGGATAAAAATAAAAATAAAACAGGTATACTATAAGAATTTCCTTTAGCTAATTAATCTACATGTAATGAATTTGTACGAATCAATTATATAATGAAGATGCCGAAACACTCTGAATACTTTAAACTTAGGGGGTGTTTGGTTCAATTTTTATAAATTATAGGAAATGTTTTCCATCCAAAATATGATTTCCTTGTATTTCTTAAAAAAATTATAGGAAAAATTTTAAGAAGTCAAAAAATAAAAAATTTCTTATTTTTTATACTTTGCTTGGTTGGTTCAAAACAATAAAATGGGTATGGGACGAGTTTTGTTGATTAAATAAGGAAGGTGTCAGATTTCATGTTGATTTCCTCTCATTTTGAGAGTAAATTGTTTTTTGTAAAATTTGGTAGTTTTTGATATTTTATAGAAAATATTTCTATAAATTTTTTGTTGAACCAAACACAATTTACAGAAATCTATAGAAAACTTTTAATTACAAAATTGTCATTGTCAGATATTTTAAGAAAAATTTTCTCAAAAAGTGTGCAACCAAACAGCCCCTTAGCCACTACCATATGTCCTTACTAGCTGCTCGTAGAAAATAAACAAAGCCCCCAAAATAAAAAATAAAAAAGACAGAGCAAATAAAAAATATATAAACAAACAAAAAATAAAAGCAGACAAAGGAAATATAACGAAAGGGAACATAAATAGTGACCGCATAAGGTTAGATTGATATATCTAAGCACGTTTTCTTTTTATGTTTTGATACCTTGAGATTTTAAATTTAATCAATCTTAAATTTTTAAAAATATTCAAATATAGATTATATATTCTAATTAGATTTGGATTGTTTCTGCTAAAAAAATATGGCGGAGAGATCATTGTTATTATATATTACATTGTGATTCATATTTGAGTGTAAATTAAGGAAGAATGATATGTGTTTGTTGATGTCAGTTATTGAACAAAAGGTTTATTTAAGGATTAGTGTTGGGTTAGGGTCTTCAAGTTTCTTTAGACGGCTGGGCTGGGGGAACCTGTTGTTCTTTCCTACACACAAAGAATTCGTAAGAGACCAGAGTTGGGTTCTCCGGTTATTACTCTGACGATATATATGAACTTGAATGAGAAAATGTGAGATGATAAAGAAGATTCAAAGTTGCATGGATAACTAGCCCATTACATTGAGTTGCATGACTTCCTTTTATAGTGGAATAGAATGACAGATTGGTAATTAACTTGAGCCGAGTCAAAACAGGCAGCCGACATGCGGCCGCTAGCGAAAATGAGTCATCTGGTAGTTTGTTGTGGGGAAGACAGTAGGTGTTGGAGCTAACTGGATCTGATGAGTCATTAAGAATATGATGGCTAGAGTAATGATAACTTTGTTAGAGTAGTTAATGCGAGGTTAGTTAGTTGTCGACGGGGGGTTTGAAGACACACCGTCTTTCTAGCCATTCAACTGAAGGTCGACAACCGCTGCCTTTCTAATCGGATACGCAAGTTGTCGGCTGGAACAATAGGCCGAGTGAGAGTGCTCATAAGATTGATCTGGTCGTAGGCTGATAAGTACCATTTTTTTAGTTGGCTACGCAAGTTATCAGCTTACGGAATCGGTCGCAGATACAACTCGAATTGTCGGTTTCTGGAATAACATGATTAAGCATGGGGGGTGGACGCATGCCGGCTTCCTAGTAGATATTAATACTTGGTTAACTTGCAGCCTATAGTAGTGTTAAACTTATAGTGAATCATAAACATACACAATACAAGACAATCACTGTGATTAAAATAATACTCGCTCGACTACTTTTTGCCAATAAAAATGATCGAAATGCACTTTCATTAATGATTTTTCAAAGTATACATTTTGTAGAATCTCTATAAAAGAAAAGCTTTAACGGTAAAAGGAAATCTATAGCCATAGAATATACAAAAAAATATAATATCATATTTAGGTAATACATATTTAAAGGCAACAGTATTTAATAAAATCATATTTCCTCTTTTCAATTATGAGCAAATTTGTAGGTGTATTTATCTTCATTTTTTCTTTCGTTAACAGGGTATAAGTTCTCTCCAACGTATGAAACAATAGGTGACTTATGTTTCAACGACGATAATATTCAGATGGTTTAATTTTAATTTATTTTAAATCTAACACTTATTCTATGTACGTTCCATGACTTACAAATGTTTTCGATTTCCTATTGGAAAATAAGTCACAATATTTTACTAAATAATTAAATTATATTGTTTTCTCTATGACTCATTGGATAATGAAAATGATTCGAATCCTTTAGAAAATTTGTGTGAGTGTTTCTTTGTTTATCCACGACCTTCTGAGCAAAAGATCTCAAACAACCCACAGTCATGCTTGGACCTCTTCAAAGCTGACAATTCTATATTTAACGAATAGAATATAATAATTATATACTGCCATCACTTATAATGTCGTTTATAGTCCAATTTATAGTATAATATGACGCGCGAGGGAAAAATAATATTAAAAGTGGACAGTTACACTGATTGTCCAGTCTCGACTACTAAAAGGTCAGTCTTAACCTAATAGTGATTAAATAAGATTGGCTTGTTAATAAAATTACTATAGTAAGGTTATTATCAACAGGGCACACATTATGAATAAGACCATCCATTTTTAAAAGTAGATTGTTAAATTACTAGATTTACCGATGTGACTATTAAGAGGCCCGCAAAGCCCCTATCTCTTAGCAAAAAATGAGCGGTTAGTTTGTTTTCAATTTTGCCAATTATCGATTGTCAATATTCTCACCAAAGTACCCATTGGTCTCTAATCAGTTCCTAAATTGTTCATTCTAGACTTTGCTTGAATTTTCTTGAGAACTCATCTATGGTGGGTTGATATTAATTAAAACGAAAAAGCCATGTGATGGTAGGGACTGGTCACTAATTAGCCACACTAGTAATAATTTGATGGAGAATTGCGTTTATAATGTTGAATCTAGAATATTATATACTTCAATTCTGTTTCTTTTGCTTCTAAAATTGAAATCAATCCTGAAATAAAATGCATTATTGAATTTTATTTTTCTTTGATTTTCTCTTATAACCAATTATTTACCATGAAAGAGGTTTCTAGAATTCATTAAACACCAGTTTATGTATTATTCTTCTTTTTTCCCCTTCCCATTATCGACAAGGAACGACATTTATTGGGCTTTTTAAACATGGACTTTATTTTAGCGATTATAAAAATTAGTAAACCTCCTCAAGATATCTGTGTAGGGTTACAAAATATATAGAATGTAACTAAGTTACACACATCTCTAAAACTATATGGTTTGAGCGTGGACATTAAAGATCCACACTGTTCGTTTTGATCTATGCATTAGAAACTTTATAGATATAAAAAAGCATACAAACTAAATATTTTTAATTTATATATCCAATGAGATAGAAATGAATAGTCCGCAACGGTCTAAAATATCGTTTATTTTACGTTCCTTAAATTATAAGATAGAAAATTTCAAAATAGATATTTTTTTTATCACGCGATCTTGATGACACGCAGATAGCAATGAACATTTGGATTTACGGTATAAATAGACAAATATGTATTTTTCATGTGTGTGTAACTAATTTAGTTACACTTTGGGTATTATAAGTTGTATCTCTACCCAATATCTAGTTATCAATATAAAGTTAGTCAAAAGGTCTAGAGATGTAATCAGTTTGCTAGAGATCTTAAATCCAAGTACAAAATAGGTTATCTGTTCAGAGAACCTTAAGACTAAGACCACCTATTTATTTATCTTATTAAGGAAAGATCGCCTATTTATCATCATTCTTTTTCAAAGAAAGCTTATTTGTTTTTCTTACCACAGGCCAAATATCTAATCCTGGATCAGTTTCTAATCGTAGTTTGTAAATGATTTTATTGCCGCAATGGATGTTAATTTGGTGTGCAGGAAGTTATAACCGTAATTAAAATATCGAGTTTATGAAAGAACAAAAATCCCCAACATTTTAATGTTCCATCACACAGTGTTTTTTTTATATTTCAATCGTAGAAAACTTACTTTTGAGGAAATCACCTGTCATCGAATTAACAATAAGTTAATTTTTTGAGAAACGGCCACGGTTAGAACTGTAATTGTAATTGCAAATAATAAATTACGAATTACTTCTGCAAATCTCTGGCACTACTTAGGCACTGTTTGGCAACCAAAAAAATATCTTATCTAGGAGCTTGTGTCTTATTGACTTGGTCAACAAGCTAGTAAAGCTGTTTGGTGACAAAAAATATGAGGAAATTATTTTGAAGATTGTGTCTTTTGCAAGTAGCTTTTGGAAAGCCATCTCAAGTAGCGTTTGTCTTTGGGAAGGAACTGTGAATTTTTTCTTCCGTTTTTACCTCTAATAATTCTAATTTTAAATCAATAATATTACATGACCTTTTTAGTCATTTAACAAATTTAAGCTAGTTGTACAGCTTCTTTTGTCAAACAGCTCTAGTCAATCAGCTAGCTACACAGCTATCATCTTCCAACTATAATTTCACAGCTTTCAGCTAGCTTGACAGCTTTCAGCTATAATCTCGCAGCTTTCAGCTAGTTTTGCTAAACAGCTTACTTTCAAGCAAAAGATAAAGCATGGGTTTGACCCCGCTACCACATTGTGATTAATTACTCTCCAATTTTCCTCCCCCACTACATAATACAACAAAAAAACATAAAAAAAATAAAAAAATATATGAAGTACACCGACAAAATTTCTTGGTACGAAGAATGCAAAATATTATAGGAAATTTGCTCTCCAGGACACATCTCATGCTTTGATGTTTACAGTCTACTCCCCTTTTTTCCCCCCGTTTCCCGTTAATTTCTGAAAGCTGGCATCCCGTGTGGATCTCAAAATTCTCCCTCTACATAAACCCAAAAAAAAACCCCCTTTGTCTCTCTTAAAACCCAAAAACCGCTAGAGAGAGAAAGCTTGCTCCTTTTTCATCCAGAAGCGGTGAGGGAAGAGAGAGAGAGAGCGCAGCGGTGGCTTGGCTACCTCGGCCCCGCTGGCCTCCACCCTTAAGCGGGACCCACCTCAATCCATTCTCTCTCTCTCTCTACAAAAAGCAGCACTTTTTTATTTTCTCTCTCTAAAAATCTCTGTTTTTGTTTTGTTACCTGTCTGATCACTTTCAGTTTCAGAGCTCTGACGCGTTGAGGCGACAGCCATACTGTTTCCAAATTTATTTCCTTTTTTTTCTTTACTTTCGTCGCCGCGTCGTCTCGTCTTGGCCCAGCTGGAATCAATTGGTGCTGTTCTCGAAAAAACTTTTTTTTCGCCAAAATCTCCTCCATTTCCTTTTTTTTTTGCATTTTGGGCTTTGTTTGTTATTGAGAGATAAAGAATTTAATTAAGAGATAGCGAGAGTTGGGGGTTTTTGAGGGAGAAGATAAGGGTTTTTTGATCGATGGAGACTGGGGGAAGATTGTTTGCGGGTTCCAGGAATCGAAACGAGTTTGTGGTCATCAATGCGGATGATTCTGTGAAGGTAAGTTATGAAAAAATTCCATTTTTTAATTTGGGTTTAGTTTGTTTTTGTTGATTTTGTATTTTTTTAAAAGATTTTTTTGGGGCTAAAGTTGTTTTCATTGATGCGACTTTCCTCCCATGGTTTCTACATTCTTTTTTTTTGGGATTTCCGTAATTTCTAAATTAGTTCCGATGATGCCCATCTCATTTTGATTCAAGAAAGTTATTTTGTGATGAAAGTCTGCAGATTTTCTCCTTAAACCCCCATTTTTAATTTTCACCTCATTTCTTATGCATTTCTTCTGATTTCAAAGTTGCCCATTTGTGCATTTTTTTTTTTGCTTCTCACATGGAACCTAGATGATTTTGTCCGTTTAAAATATGATTTTACAGAATAAATATATTTTCTTCAGTTAAAAAAAAGATATTCATACAGAATTAACATCTATTTAAACATATTCTTGCATGCGGTGGTTTCCCCCTTCCTTTGATGATTTTTGCTGTTTGGTTTGTCATGGAATTATATACCTGCACTCAAGCTCACAAGTTCAACTATGTTCTTACTTGTAGATATGTGATTTTGAATATGGAATCTGTAAAAATGTTTTAATTTCTTAATCTATAAGTCTAGTTGCATCATATCTTATAACAACTTGGAACATTCGCAGCAAAGAGAAGATGAAAAATTGGCTGGTCAAATTTGTGAAATATGCGGCGATGAAATTGAGGTGCTAGAGGAGGAAAAGGAGTTGTTTGTTGCCTGCAATGAATGTGCGTTCCCCGTGTGTAGAGGTTGCTACGAGTATGAGAGAAGAGAGGGCAGTCAATCCTGTCCTCGCTGCAAAACCCGATACAAGCGTCACAAAGGTTTGGATTTTTTTTTGCCTTCCTCATATTCATCATACACATGTAGGTCTATTTCAGGATAGATCAGATTGGTTTGAAACTCTTATAGGTTGTGCTAGAGTTGAGGGTGATGAGGAAGAAGATGGAGATGAGGATATCGATAAAGAGTTTAGTTTCAGTAGTTTTGATGGGAGGGAGACTCGAAGTACTTCTGGCCTAAAGTTTAGAAAGCAGCTCAGTTTAGGGGATAGCTCTTTCAGTGCATATGGAGCCACCCCTAGGACGGACCCTTCCGGTTACAACATGGACTCCAACATTCCATTATTAACTTATGGTGAAGGGGTAGAATTTTCTATTATCGTAAAAATGTGCATTACTGAATTGATTTAAAAGAGGGTTGGTTGTAATTGTAGTCCAATTTTATGTTTAGGTTGAAGGGATTTCTCCTGAGAGCCATGCTCTTATCATTCCACATCATATGGATTCAGGACATACAATTTCTCGTTCAGGATCATCATTGTGCTCCGGTGAGTTAGTTGAAGTGCTCGAATCATTTGATTTCCTCCTAATGTGTGTGACAGTTTTTATCTCTTCGTTGCTGATCACCATACTCATGTTGTTCCCTTTTGCAGCGCAATCTCGACCAATAAACCCTAACAAGGATATATCACTGTATGGCTATGGAAGTGTTGCATGGAAAAACCGGATTGATGAATGGAAGAGAAAGCAATCTGAAAAGATGCAAAATGCTTCAAATGGAAATCGTGGGGAATTATTTGGAGATGAGGTGGACGATCCTGACCTACCCACGTAAGTTATTTGATTAGCATTTAAGTCTTCAGCTCTGAAAATATCTTCATTAATTATATATGTGCCAATTCACCATATCGAAAGGTAATTATTTCTTAGTTGCTTATTTGTCACCATATTGACGTGTTGGTGTAAATTTTAAAGACAAAATCGAGTAGTTTAAGAATACTTGACACAATTAGTAATCTTCTAAATGTAGATGGAGACGAGAAAATTTGCAATCTTAAGTAGATGTAGGTGGAAAAGTTGGGAAAAGTAGGTTGTCCCTTATGATAAAGATTTGCTTCTGGTCACTGAGCCATCTCATCTCAGTCTGATTGATGAATGATGAACATATCTAAAAGTGTTTATTGAATGTTCTGATTTCCTTATGCTGTTGTTTTTTTCCTGAACAACTGTGAGTCTGTCTTCTCTTCTGATAATTCTTAATGCTCTATTTTATTTCAAACTTCCTATTTACAATTTGTCAAATTTTCTATAGGTCGGATGAAGGCAGACAACCATTATCGAGAAAGCTACCTATCTCTTCCAACAAGATAAACCCCTACAGGATAATAATCTTGCTTAGGCTTCTGATTCTTGGCCTTTTCTTCCATTATAGACTTTTGAACCCACTTTCAGATGCATATGGACTGTGGCTGACTTCTGTTATCTGTGAGATATGGTTTGCTATTTCATGGATCTTGGATCAATTTCCAAAATGGTATCCAGTAGAGCGAGAAACATACTTGGATCGTCTTTCACTTAGGTGTTACTCTTTTGTCTAATTGCAACTAATATTACTATATTCCTGTTTGGTGTTAACTTTACTTGCCTATTTTCAATTGAAAATTCTCACTCAGATATGAGAAAGAAGGGAAACCATCACAGTTGGCAGATATTGATATATTTGTTAGCACCGTTGATCCGATGAAAGAACCTCCTCTTATAACTGCAAACACTGTGCTTTCCATTCTTGCGGTGGACTACCCTGTCGATAAAGTTTCATGCTATGTCTCAGATGATGGCGCTGCAATGCTTACCTTCGAAGCACTTTCTGAGACTTCTGTGTTCGCACGGAAGTGGGTTCCATTCTGCAAAAAATACAGCATTGAGCCCCGAGCTCCTGAATGGTATTTTGCTCAGAAAATTGATTATCTAAAGGACAAAGTACATCCAGAGTTCGTCAGAGAACGGAGAGCCATGAAGGTAATTATATGTTCAGAAATCCCTATTTTCTTTTTTGACCTTTTTGTTTCTAACTTTAAGCTTAAATGCGTTTTTACTTCTTCTTTGAACAGAGAGAATATGAGGAGTTTAAGGTTCGTATAAACAGTTTAGTTGCCATGGCACAAAAAGCTCCTGAAGAAGGATGGACAATGCAGGATGGGACTCCATGGCCTGGTAACAATGTTCGCGACCATCCGGCAATGATTCAGGTGAATAAAGATGCATACCCCCATTTGATTTAAACATATCAGTTGAAGCTGTTAACTGCACTCTGCATTTCCTAACTCCATACAATATTGAGTGAATGGTTGCTCTATAGATATTTCTTGGGCACAATGGTGTTGTGGACAACGAGGGAAACAAGTTGCCAAGCTTAGTTTATGTTTCTCGTGAGAAAAGACCAGGATTTAACCACCACAAAAAAGCTGGTGCCATGAATTCTTTGGTATGATTTGCTGTATTAGTTCAAATTCTTTCTATTTTACGGTTTTTCTCCGTCACTGCTGACTACTTAGTGTGATTATTTCAGGTGCGTGTCTCAGCTGTTCTCTCTAATGCCCCTTACATTTTGAATGTAGACTGTGACCATTATATAAATAACAGTAAAGCTTTACGAGAAGCCATGTGCTTCATGATGGACCCCACGTCTGGAAGCAAGATTTGCTATGTCCAGTTCCCTCAGAGATTTGACGGGATTGATCAACATGACCGATATTCAAACCGCAATGTTGTGTTTTTTGATGTGAGGATACTAATTTATTGAATTTATTGTTCCTTGTCTGTTATATTACCTTCCGTTTTTAATTTGTCTCCTCTTTTTACTGTATTAGATCAACATGAAAGGTCTCGATGGGCTTCAAGGGCCGATATATGTGGGAACTGGCTGTGTGTTCCGAAGGCAAGCTCTGTATGGATTTGATGCGCCAGTCACAAAGAAGCCTCCGGGAAAGACATGTAACTGTTGGCCAAAATGGTGCTGCTCGTGTTGTGGATCTCGAAAGAAGAATAGAAAAGGGAACAAAAAGCAGAAGGTGAAGCATAGAGAGACATCTAGACAAATTCACGCACTTGTGAGCATCCGAGAAGAACCTGAAGGTCAGTATTATATTGAACGATAACTTAAATCTAAACAGGGGAAAATCCCAATAGTTGATCTTCGAAATTACATGTCAATTTGTACACATGTCATTATATTCAATCTGTTGCGAAAGGATAAACTTCTAGACAGTAAACTGGAATGTGCTTGATCATCATATGAGATCCATTCCTATTCAGAAGGCGACTTCTACTTTTTTTAGTGCTGCAGATATAGATAAGGTCTGGTATCCCGCCTCCCCCCCGCCGCCCCCTCAGCACACACACTCAACACATCGCTCACTGTACTTCCTGTTAAATATGTTTATCTAGCTCTTGGAGTGGGTGGTGGGTGGGGGGGGGGTAGTACCAGAACCATATTATATCTGCAGCGCTAAAAAAAAGTAGAAGTCGCCTTTCGAATAGATAACCTTTTTAACAGGGGTTGTCAAGTGGTGAAAAATATCAAAAGCTTTGAAGCGTGTAGCTGGAACTCCAATTATCACTACAAATTTGGCTAGATCTGGTAGGAAACACTGGCTTTGATCCCAGCCCAAACCTAACTTTTGTGAACTTTGCTGAAATAAGTGTCTCGCTACTTGTATAGTTTGATTAATCTTCTAGTGTCCATTTATATTTGCAAGCTGAATTTTAAAGATACTGATCAAGACATGTTTTCTTTGTAGGACTAGAAAATGAGAGCGCATTGCTAGTGCCCCGTCAGAAACTTGAGAAAAAATTTGGGCAATCACCGGGTTTTGTGGCATCCACACTTCAAGAGAACGGTGGAATGGTCAAGGGCTTGGATCCTTCTTCACTTCTAGGAGAAGCTATGCATGTCATCAGTTGTGGTTATGAGGACAAAACTGAATGGGGAAAAGAGGTAAACCCATCAATTTCAGTCTAGCATCTTGAGTACTTGGCTATTGTTTTTTGTCCTGACTCCTTTATCTTGATCAGGTTGGATGGATTTATGGCTCTGTGACCGAGGATATCTTGACCGGCTTCAAGATGCATTGTCATGGATGGAGGTCAGTTTACTGCATACCCAAAAGGCCGGCTTTCAAGGGTTCAGCTCCCATCAATCTCTCTGACCGTCTTCACCAAGTACTGAGATGGGCTCTTGGATCTGTAGAAATTTTCTTGAGCAAGCATTGCCCTATTTGGTATGGGTATGGAGGTGGATTGAAGTCATTGGAAAGACTCTCATACATAAACTCGGTCATCTATCCTTGGACAGCTCTTCCATTAATTGTCTATTGTACTTTGCCTGCAATCTGTCTTCTGACTGGGAAATTCATAGTCCCTGAGGTATTTTTCTTGCAAGGTTTTTCATGAATTTATATATCTGAACTTGGTATAGTAGGATATGATAACAACTATCTCCGTTTGAGGTTCAAGTGAAATTTCAGACTTGGTGGAAATAAATGTTTTCTTCTCGGTGTAAAAGCTTCCAAATATATATGTGAAGGAAAGAAGACTACCAAAAATATATTATGTCAAATTAACAATTAATCATTTCCTATCTGGCAACTATATGCTACGACTAGTGGGCTAGCTAGGCTTCATCTTTGGGGTTAGTTACATACTTACATGAATCCTTTTTTACTTTTCTATTCTTTTTCCCATCGAGTTCGATAAAGTGCTTTTCTCTCTTAAAGAGAGAACTATCACATCCTATTTTATTACATCAATATAAGTTTGCTGAGATATTGTTGCTTCCTCTTAAGGAAATATATAGTGTGATCTGACCTTATTCCATCAGAAGTTCTGTTGCCCCACAAATTAGTCCTTTTACATAACATGAAACCTTGTTTCAGGACAAGAACATGTGAAATTTGATATGCTCTTACAAAAATGTCTCTTCTGACATAGGTAACCTGAAATTAATGTGCACTTCCATCTCTGCAGATAAGCATCTACGCTAGCATAATATTCATGGCTCTCTTTGCATCAATTGCTGCTACTGGAATCCTCGAGATGCAATGGGGAGGAGTGGGCGTCGATGACTGGTGGAGAAATGAGCAATTCTGGGTCATCGGTGGAGTCTCGTCCCATCTTTTCGCCCTCTTCCAAGGCCTTCTCAAAGTCATTGCAGGGGTCGACACAAGCTTCACAGTCACATCCAAAGGAGGCGACGATGGAGAGTTTTCAGACCTCTATCTCTTCAAATGGACAAACCTATTAATCCCTCCAACGACCCTTGTCGTTATAAATGTAGTTGGAGTCGTTGCAGGGGTATCCAACGCAATCAATAACGGGTACGAATCTTGGGGGCCTTTGTTTGGCAAGCTGTTTTTTGCTCTGTGGGTAATTATCCATTTGTACCCGTTCGTTAAGGGAATGTTAGGCAAGCAAGACAGAGCTCCGACGATTGTCATTGTGTGGACATTGCTTCTTGTTTCGATATGTTCGCTTTTGTGGGTGAGGGTTAACCCCTTCTTAGCGAAGAATGATGGTCCCGTGTTAGAGGTTTGTGGATTGGATTGCAATTGAAGTGTCCATAATTTTTTGCTAGAGAAAGTGTAGTTCTCGTGTAGATAGAGAGGTTGTGAGTTTTTTTTTCCCATTTATTTACAGATGTTATTTTTATTGACATTCTTTGTTAGAAGGTAGATTTTTTGTGGGTTGATCTCCAAAGGGGGAGATGTTCGTAGTGAAAAGTTGTTAGGGGTTTTGGTCAAGTACTTTGGTCAAGTTATTCCCCTCTAATTTAAGTATAGTTTCTGGATGTTTGTTACACTTGGTTTCTGGTTCCTTAAGGGTGTGAACTGTTATTTGTTGGTTTGTTCGTTTGTTTCTCTATTTCGGTTGATTTGGTTAATGCTTCAAACATTTGCATGTGATTGTGAATTTGTGATAGAAGCAAATGCAGGATATATTTCCTTAGAGTAGAGTCGTGCTTCCTTGTATTATTGTGACAAAGCACTGCATTGATACTTCTGATTATTGATAGATACGGGTTACTCAATAGCTGTTTGCATGTGTAAACTTATTTAATACGACCGAATACTTATTTAATACGAATGTCCTTGAAATATTCAAGGAAAATTATCCGTTACATTTGAATTTATGGCATTTAAAGGTGCACTCTTGCATTTGGGTTTATGACATTAAATGTACATTAAATGAATGACAAACATTGGATCATTCGATCTAAGAGTTAGACATTTTTTTTAGGTGCACATTTAATGAAATTGACCATCTCTGCTGGATGCTTTCTCAATATTCAACCAATGTAGTCTAATTCACTTCTCTCTTATGTTTTTTTCTTCTTCTATCAGTGCTCCTGTATCTATATGGGATGCAAAAGCAACACAAATACACGCATAAGCTGACAGGATACAACCTCTCTCCGAGTTCACCTTCTATCTTCCAGTTCCCAAAACCAGTGCGTTGTGTAGCGGAAGAAACTTGTTTTGGGGTGTGTTCGGATCGTCAATTTATGCATGCTGTTATGGTTATAACGTTAGTTTTATATCATCTTATGTTATGAATTTATTTATAATGAACAATATATGACGAATTTAACAGTTGATTAATGATAGAATTATAAGCTCAATTATATAATAAAGTATCGTGTGAGTGTCTGCACACACTCTCCCTCTTTATCTATTGACGAATTTAACAGTTGATTAATGATAGAATTATAAGCTCAATTATATAATAAAGTATCGTGTGAGTGTCTGCACACACTCTCCCTCTTTATCTATGATGTGGCATGAATTAATTAAAGGAGGGGTATTTTCGGAAGAACAACTCCACACTAAATTGGAAAGAAAAAAGAGGAAATCTCATTTATTTATTCTCCAGCAACCAAGAGGATCATCACGCGTCTTCATCACGCATCTACAGGTTCCCTATTCTCCGCTGCCTTGAGAACCGCCTCCTCCGCTGCTTAACCATCTTGCCACGAAACCGGGCCGATCCCAACATTTTTTAAGCCGGACATCATCGGTCCAGGAGTTAACATTCTGGCGGATTATGTTGGGGTGCAGAGTTGCATCTACTCCTATTGAGCAGAATCATAAGATGAGTGCCGAGGGTGGGGACCCTGTGAGTAAAGAGCAATATCAAAGATTGGTTGGACGACTTATATATCTATGCCATACGAGACCTGATATTACTCATGCAGTGAGCGTGGTGAGTAGATATATGCATGATCTCAGAGAGTAGCATATGGAGGCAGTTCGCAGAATTCTTAGATATATTAAAGGAAGCCCAGGAAAGGGGTTATGGTTCAGGAGTTTTGGACATCTGAGAATTGAAGGCTATTGTGATGCTGATTGGGCGGGTTGTATGGATGATCGTAGGTCCACTACAGGCTACTGTGTATTTGTTGGAGGCAATCTCGTATCTTGGCGTAGCAAGAAGCAAGATGTGGTGGCTAGGTCTACAGCTGAGGCGGAGTACAGGGCTATGGCAGTTGGTCTGTGCGAGTTGATGTGGGTCAAAAACATATTATCTGAGCTGCGCTTGTTTAGAAGAGACTCCTTACAACTTTGGTGTGACAACAAATCGGCGATTAATATTGCAAACAATCCAGTTCAGCATGATCGCACCAAACATGTGGAGATCGATCGGTTCTTTATCAAGGAGCAACTGAATAGAGGAGTTCTGACTTTGAGCTATGTGAAATCAGAAGAGCAGTTAGCTGATTGTTTAACAAAAGGATTAGGTTCTAGAGAGTGTGATATCTTTTGTAACAAGATGGGGATGATTGATATCTATCGCCCATCTTGAGGGGGAGTGTTGAGTTATTTAGATAGAAATTAGTCAATGCTGTGAGGACCTATTTGTAAGAGTGCCCTTATATAAAAGGGGTATCTCTCTATGAGTGAATGTAACCCTAATATTTTCCTAAAAAACTCAACAGATCTTAATAGTAGGATAAGAAGAAATTCTAATTTTTTCTATGCATCTTGCCTCAGAAAGGAAAGCAAGTTTAAACAGGCAGTTGAAGAGAAGCATTATTTGGTTCACATAAATTGCATATCCAGGCTGTCAATCATATGCTCGAGACATTTTATAACTAACCCCTTCACCCAAAATTTTAGAGGGTTTCAAATATCTGGACCTAAGATCTAATTCAACTGTTGATAAAAACTTTCATTATATGACACTTGATTCTTAATTACTAAGACTAGATAGTAGTTGTTATATATGTAGATATATGATTTTCTGTCCTAGTTTAACATTCATATGCTATTGTATAAGTAATTCAACATAGCACTTAAGGGAGGAATGAGTCATTGCTGTGAACTGATGTAGTTCTATATTAGGCATGCCCAATTAGCTTTTCAATGCTAGCTATTTTTTCATTTTCATTTATCACTTTTTCTCTTTCTTCATTAGGACAAAATTTTAAAAGAGCCCTATTTGCAAACTTATTCCCCCAAAACGACCCCTTTTAAATTTATTTGTCAAAACCGACCTGGTTTCAACTCCAAGGCTGTGAAACCAGGTCGGTTTTAGCAAAAAAAGTTCCCAAACTTCACGGGACATCAAGTCCTATGAAGTTTAACAACAATTTTGTTAAGCTGCTAAACTTCACGGGACTTGAAGTCTCAAGTCCCGTGAAGTTTCAAAGGTAAAAAAAGCTTCACGAGACTTGAAGTCCCGTGAAGTTTGAGCTGAATTTCCACGCTCTGAAAATTCAGCTTGTAACTTCACGAGACTTGAAGTCCCGTGAAGCTGCAGGTTTTAAAAAACATGCATAACAGGCTGTGCATGTTTTTTTATATACGCAACGTAACTCCTAAATGCATTACACAATAGATATACATGAAATTTTCGCCATGAATCAATCGATTTACATGAATCAAACAATATATACTGAATCAAACAATAATCACGAAAATACACCTGTGAATAATAATGGATCTCATACACACTGAATTACAACAATATTCTTAAAATTCAGTCATGAATTAAACACGAATCAAACAATACTCACGAAGATCACATATATAAACAATAATTGATCCACAAAAGTATGGTATTTGAAAAATCATAAAAGTTATAAATTTTAACAAAATAAGATCACATGCACTGCTGATGAGTCTCGATTATCTGAGTATCTGATTGTGTATGAGGCTGAGAAGTACCGGCTCCATCGTCATCGTCGCGTGGCCTACGTCGTCGCATGTACATTTGCCCAAATGATCAAGACCTGTCCTCACGACCTGCAAACTCATCGACATGAGTCTTATGAAGCACCTGTGCTATTCTCTGCTTGATCCTGTTGAAGACCCCTAACGCCGTCGGATCCTAAATCTCATGTGCTCATTAATATCAGCTTCAATGTCATCAAAAGCACGGACCTGCGAGTTAAACAATATGTACACAATTTAGCAAATAACATCTTAATAAAAAAATCACTGTTTTAATTTAGATTAGAAACTTACATAATCTCTGTCGATCATCCCACTAGGGATGTAACTATCTGTCGGTGGGTGTGGCAGGTGTCCAGCTGATGGCTGTGAGTTACGCATGATCCATTACATGTGACATCCCAATACCAACGTATATACGCTGTGTAGTCAACAGCTGTCTCTCGTATTCTATATCAAATCCCGTGAAGTTTTTTTTACCTTTGTAACTTCACGGGACTTCAAGTCCCGTGAAGTTTTTTGAAATTTGAAACTTCACGGAACTTCAAGTCCCGTGAAGTTTAGCAGCTTAACAAAATGGCTGCTAAACTTCACGGGACTTGAAGTCCCGTAAAGTTTGAGAACTTTTTTCGTCAAAACCGACCTGGTTTTAGCACTGGGGCTGAAACCAGGTCGGTTTTGACAAATAAAGTTGAAAGGGATCGTTTTTGGAAATAAGTTTGCAAATAGGGCTCTTTTAAAAATTTGTCCTTTATATAACTTTTCTACTACTAACCTTGACCATTACAACTATTATCTAATTTTTGTAATTTAATATTTAATTTCAATAGAAGTGTTTTGGTGTTTTAAATCAATCAATCTTTTGTTTTTATAATCTCTATTATTGAAATGTTTTATATGTATTTTGGTTTTAAATTTCAATTGTTTGTAGGCTTGATTGTTAAAGGACTCATAGGTTTTATTTATATTTAGGGGGTGTTTGGTTTAATTTCTACAAATTATAGAAAATGTTTTCCACCCAAAATATGATTTCCTTGTATTTCTTAAAAAAATTATAGGAAAAGTTTTGAGAAGTCAAAAAGTACCAATTTTTTTTATTTTTTTTACTTTGCTTGTTTGGTTCAAAACAAGAAAATGATCCATAACTTTATAGAAATCAGCAAGATGTCTTATAATTTGTAGAAACTGTACCGAACAACCCCTAAATTTATAAAAAAGTGTCAACTTTATAGAAAAATGTCAATGTGGTGTCAGATTTTTAGGTGATTTCCGCCAATTTTGAGAGGAAATTGATTTCTGTAAATTTTGATAATTTTTTTACTTTACAGAAAATATTTCTGTAATTTTTTTTTGAACCAAAAACAATTTACAAAAATCTACAGAAAATTTTTACAGAATTGCGATTTTCAGACACTAGTATGCAATACGTGCGTTGCACGTGATGCATATTAAGAAACTATAAGAGTCAAAATCCATAATGTTTCCATAATTATGCATTGAACTTATACACAATACACAAGATGAATGCCAATTAACCATTATCTCACAAGACTTGGGATATTGTCCATAGAGAAGAAACCTAATCAACCATATATATAGTGCGCGTGATAAAAGTGACCGCACAATCAAGAAGAGGTAAGTTGATTTTAACTGCAAATAATTAATATTCAGCATCATATTACAAACCAGCAAAGTATTCAATTAGCATGACGATATACATACAATGAGAGTAAAAAAGAATCAACATGATAGATTGAAAACATAGCTTTATTATACACTTTTTACAATGAGGTGTCTGAAATATTAGTTTATTGGATTTGAGGCATAAATATCTGCGTTTCCCCCTTTTGCAGGCACAGAAGCTAAAATCCCCGCATCAAGTCCAGCTCTGTATTGCTCAACAAGAGCTAGATCATTTGGCAATGAGATTGAACTATGCCCAAAATAGTATGGCATCCCATGCCCTACTCTATCCTTCCACTTTCGATACTCCAAGACCCAAGTGTCACATGACCCAAGATTAATATACATTTTACCAACAGGAGTCATTTCCTTCATTAGGATTTCATTTTGAGATGAAAGGAATCTCATGTCTTGTTCCAGGACCATGCATATATTTTGATGGAAGAACCATTTAGGGAGAAACTTCATAACTGGGTCCATCAATTAGCTGACCTTCAGATAGTTTTGCTAATCTGCAGAAAAATTTAATATAATTAAGGGCTATGATTACAATTATAGCTATAACATGCTACAATGGTTGTATTGGAAAAGCACATAAGAATCAGATGGATGATAAATTGAACGCCGAACAAAAACAGCATCAATAACCAGTAATAACAGAACAAAACATGCAGCCTTCCTGAAAAATGACGTAGCTCTCCAGTTTTCGGTCATTATTGTTGTATACTAATACAAGTCCATGCTCTTTTTTGTCTCAATATGCTAGAAGATGCTTAATTGCAAAGGTAGAAAAGGAACTGATTGTTGCTTCCTCAAAAATTCAGGCAAAGAGGGGAAAAAGAAAATGGGATTGTCTCAGATCAATAGTCTTACAAAGGGGTCAAAAATCTTGAGATAGATAAAGGTATCCATTGCTGAGAACCATAGTTATTACTATTTTACTCTGACATGTGATGCCTTGAATTGAAACTAAAATTTACGAAGTAGGCCTTGATGGTACCCTTGCGCTCGCATGGTGTTCACAAATTCATAAAGGTAAGACCATATTATCTTCTGCATTCATCTCCATCTGTTACTCTATTGATCCTCTAACATAGGTCACCACTATATGTTTTTCTATACATTGTTTGTATCGAATTTTTTTTTTTGTTTCATGCAAGTTCATCATGTATTTGAAGTTGCAGAAACTCTAGATGCTTCAAGTTTCTGGAATTGTTGTTTTCATGTGATGTATATAATTAACATAAACAACTTCTGACTAATTTGTAGAGCTCAGTAATGAACGCATTTTTTTAAGATCCAGAGTTGCAAAGCAGAAGAAGCTACACCTATGCAATTAGTATAACACAAATAGACTATTATTTTAACATCAATCCCATTTTTCAATCCCAGACAGATAATGCACTTCTGAAAGGTTTTCTTCTCGGATTTGTGCGATGAATTTGTTAGCGTTGGAATTGAGGAACTAATGGAAATTTCCAATGAGCTGAACATAAAGAGAACAAATCACAGTAATTCCTAAATAACCAATCTCTTTCACATTGTAAACTTCACTAAAAGATGAACGGTAACTGGAGGAATGTACCTTATTGCAATTGGGTATAAGCTCTTGAAGTGCACGCATCCTCTCATTGATCCTATCTCTTCCCCTCTATTCACAATTATACAGATGAAATCAGTCAAGGCATAATTTCAAAACAGATACAAGTTGAAAAGGTTTAAAAAAAATGAGTAATGTGCTAACTTTTTCTGATAAATTATGTATTTTCGCAGCACGACTTCACTTTTTGCTCTTGCCTTAAACAGGAAGGGATTGCTTACTGATTTGAGAACACATTCATATTTGCACATCAGCCAAATTTATAAACAATCCATAATTTATTTTAAAAAATAATGATTGCAATCGTACCTTCCATCTTAGTATCAAGTAATACTTTCTTTGAATTTTGAATGTTTTACCTTCTGAGAAAATTTTATGGTTGTAATCTTTTCATTGCAAACGAAAAGTTCCCTCATGATTCAATGATTTTGTGTGACAATTAAGCACATGAACATGCGCAACTTCATACTATTATGATTCGTCATGCATATTCTGATTTTATAAAAAATCTAGATATCTGGAAAACCAGTACAGATTTTCTAGAGTATATTTATGTTCTTCATTATTTCAAATTTGGATGTCAGGTTAACTCAGACTATAATCTAACTCTTTTTTCTAATCAAGAACCATCTGTCGATGATAAAAGAAAGCACATTAATTTGAATGACTACTTATAGAGTCTTCAAGTGTACAAATTTACTAATTTTCAGCATCGCTATCCCTTCAAGAAGTAATACTTTTAGGCTATAAGAACTTTAAGATTATCATACTTTCAAAAAAGAAAGAAAGAAAGAAACAATGAACAAAATACTAGAATGAATACTACAACTTGTATGCTGTCTAAAAATCACTGCAGATAGCTGATCCCCATCAAACACCGATGATGGAAGTTACAATTCGACGGCTTTCAGAAGACTTTAATTTGAAGACTTTTACGTAGATCAATGAAGGTTATAATCTGACGATCTTCACAACAACTGATGAAAGCTCTAATCAACAGCCTTCACAATCAACATCGGGAGTTACAAAGATTATAAAATGACGATCTTTGCAACGCTCTGACAGAAAGAGACTACAAATCGACGGTCTCTTCAAACTAAGACACGGAAGTCCTCCCCGCATACCAACATCAAGACGCATCGCGTTCACAGCCACAGACGCAGCTCGGATCCAGCTGCCAACGCAACTTCCAACGCTGCTAACGCAGCTTTCAAATTGCTGCCAACGCAGCTTCCAACGCTGCTAACGCAGCTTCCAAATTACTGCAAATGCAGCTCACGAGCAGCTTCCAACGCTGCCAACGTAGCTTCCAAATTGTTGCAAACGCAGCTTCCAGACACTGCGTTTGAACGCAGAATTCATGTCAGAACGTGGATTTTGTGTTTGACTCGTTCAAACACGAGCTGAACAGTTTCAAAACCGTTTTCCACGATCTGAGGGGATCACAACTCTACTCAGGAGTGATTTAAGGGGCGGTTACATCCCATTAGCCCCACATAAGAGAGAATTAAGGAGGGCGGTTACACCCCTTAATCCCCTATAAATAACTAAGAAATCAGCTTAGTTCGGATCCTGCTCTTGGGCAACATAGAAGAGATCATTGGCTTGTCTAACCAATTACGGTTAAGATCAATCAACTCATCAAGAGTTCTAAAACTTGCTTTGCAAGTTCTTCACAGCGTCAAATCGTGAGGAGGAGATACTGTTCTAGTGAATCAAAACGTTCGGATCGTCAATGGAGAGCAAACTCGACGCGAGCATTCGAGGGAGACACTCCATCGCCACCGTGAAGAACCCAGAATTAAACAAAGGGGAGAATCAAATTCATTCTCCTCTATTTTGTAATTAGGAAATCTAATTGTAACTGAGATTAAAGGAATACAAATCAATTTTTCTTCGTTTCTTTTACTGCAAAATTTTCCACAAACACAACTATACATCAAGTTGGATGTATAAGTTGCTACATGCGAGACATGAAAAGCTCATTATCTTTCGCAAAGTATGAAAATATCATAAATTGAATGTAAGAAGATATAATCTTAACTTACTGAAAATTGCATTTATAAAGAATAATAACTATTAGTCCACGTCATACGCTTGATAATGGGAATACATAAACTTGCAATTAGTATGCATTCCTTTTTACTTTCTGTTCTACATTTATTTTTATTAAAGGTTTATGTGAGACAAGGGTAAATCAAGTGAACTGATGAATCCTAGTTTCCATAGAAATGACTTGAGATCTGAGCTCACGAGAGCAAAGATTGACCTGAAGTAAATACGTTTGTCTCCAAAGTCCTAGAATTTAATGTGCCTCAATCATGTCTTCTCACAGACCTTGATACCGTTAATAAAGCATATCCCGTGACAGCAAAAGATGATGTAGTTAGGGGGACACAACCAATGACAGAAAATGAATGGGTAACATGCAAATTCTAATAACAGTGATTTATGAACTCTATATTATGCACAGTTTCTTATTGATTTTTCTCCATCTTAATTGCTATAGAATATCCAACAATGCACATGTCAAAGACAGATTATTGGTGAACATGGAGATGGCTTCATATAGATGGACAACCTTCATGTCACGAGCAGACAAAACTATACCCTAAAGTAGTATGCACGTGTTGTTTGATGCTCAAAAGGATGCTTAAAAATATCAAGTGCTAATATTATAAATGAGGCAAACAATAAACAAGTAAACATTTGCAAAGATATTGTTACTGGGCATAAGATACATGGCAGCATGAGAGTAAATTGCATGAAAGAAATGCTGACTACTTTCACAAGTAGATGTTTACTAACAAAAATAACCAGATACAAGCCTTGAATATATTCAGCTCATGGAAGGTCTTTGAGAATAGGAGATATAGTAGATGTGAATGCAAACAATCGGACATGCATGCATATACACATACACGTGAAACAATTCGTATTGATTTTTCTCCATCTCAATGGCTATGGAATATCCAACAATGCACATGTCAAAGTCAGATTATTGGTGAACATGAAGATGGCTTTTTATAGATGGACAACCTTCACGTCATGAGCAGACAAAACTATACCCTAAAGTAGTATGCACTTATTGTTTGATGCTCAAAAGGGCCTTCACGTCATGAGCAGACAAAACTATACCCTAAAGTAGTATGCACTTATTGTTTGATGCTCAAAAGGGTGCTTAAAAATATCAAGTGCTAATATTAACCCTAAAGTAGTATGCACTTATTGTTTGATGCTCAAAAGGGTGCTTAAAAATATCAAGTGCTAATATTATAAATGGCCTAAAATACTGTCAGTTTCATATTATAATTTTTAAGTAAATGAAAGTTACAAAGTCGTGAACTTGTGAGTGACGGATAATATACAGACATGAATATCATGTCCACATACGCGATGGACATCCAAAATTTTCTTTGAAATGGTCCTATTTATCTATAGAGTTTAATTAGAAAACTTCTTGTTAATTATTTTAGACAACCATTGATATCTTTCTTCAACCATCTCTAAGTTGTTTGCTTTAGTTGTTATTTGGATGTTAAAAGTTATCTAATAGTCAAAAATCCAATGACTTTCCTACGCATCAAGTCAATTTATAGCCTTATAGGTTGTTTTCGTCAAAAGTTGCCTTCATCATTGATTTCATTAAAACTTCAAACGTTACAAATGAATTCAAATAACGAAAATAAAAATTACAACTTTCTTGAAAATAAACACAAGATCCGTTTATCGTCTCTTGCTTGCGTGAGTCTTTAGCCTGTGACGGGGACGTCGATATCCGTGGACTACCTGGCAATCAGATCTGATCCAGAAAAATCGGGCAGAGCTTCGTCGATCCGCGAGGAGATCTAGAAACTTGAAGCGCCTATCTCGGATAAAGCGAGATATTTGCTCTTCTTAGGATTACCGACGAGGGGTAATGCTAAGGAACGGATGCGGGTGAGGTAGATCTGATGAAGAACTCTCTTGTGTTGAAGTGCTCGATCACTCTTCACTCCAGCAGGGCTTCGCCAATTCTCCAAAAATCCAGATCCCTAAAAAGTGAGGCCTAAGACTTCTATTTATAGGCGACACCCCTAGGGTGTCCCCAAAAATCTAGGACACCCCTGGGGTGTCCCCAAAAAAATCTAGGACACCCCT